GATGACGCAATCGCTTGCTGGGGATGGTGCCCTGCCGCAGGCTGTGGCCTCGGTCAGCGCAATTCAGACCCGCGATGCGTTCAAGGAGGGCAGGAATACGACGGTTACGGGTTTAACCGATGTCCCTACTCCTCTTTCTTTCTCAGAACGCATTTCCTCTCCCTTTCACGGGAGGCCCACCTTGGGCTGTTCCACCACTTCAGTGTTGGGGAACAGTGGCGGTAAGGGCCATAGAGGAATACAGGTCCTTCCTACTGGATGCACCACAGCTTCGCGCCCAGCCACTTTCTTTGCATTGCTGGCAGTGGCGAAGAAGCTGCACCCTCTCACGCTGGCTAGAACAGACGTTGCAGAAGGGTTATGCTCTCCAATTCCACCGGACCCCACCCCCGTTCAGGGGAGTGGTGGAGACGGTGATGAAAACGCCAGACAAAGTGGCCGCTCTGATGACAGAGATTACGGAACTTTTGGCGAAGGAGGCGGTGACAGTAGTTCCCCGGGAGCAAAGGAACAAAGTGCTATATTCGTAGTGCCCAAAAAAGACGGGGGGAGTGAGGCCGATTTTGGATTTACGCATTCTCAACGAGAGCATAACCAAACGGTCCCTTCCGAATGCTAACGACAAAACGTCTGCTGGAATGTGTCCAGAGAGGGGACTTTTGTACGAGCATAGACCTAAAGGACGCGTACTTTCATGTGCCGGTTCAGCCGCGTCACAGGAAGTTTATGCGGTTCGCCTTTCAAGGGGTGGCGTACGAATACACGAGGATGCCATTTGGGTACGCCCTGGCACCTCGCACAATTTCCAAGTTTGTGGAGGCGGCATTGGAACCGTTGCGTCATCAGGGAATACGGCTACTAGCCTACCTGGACGACCTACTGGTTCTCGCCCCGTCAGCAGAGCTGGCGATCACTCACACAACACAGACAGTGATGCATCTCACAAGTCTGGGGTTTGCTGTGAATTGGAAAAAGAGCGCGCCCTGGCCCACTCATCAGATTGTCTACCTGGGGATACAGCTAGACACTGTGAGGATGAGGGCTCGAATTTCGGACCCCCGAAGGGTAGCCTTGTTGCTAGCCCTAAGGAAGTGTCGTCCGAATCACACGGTGACGGCGCTGTCGATCATGTCACTTTTGGGTCTCATGTCGTCAGCCCACACTGTGGTTCCGCTGGGACTCCTGCACATGCGCAGGACGCAGCGATGGTTCGCCCAACTAAGACTAGACCCATTGCGTCAACGTCATCGGTTGGTGGTGGTTCCCCTCTCGCTCAGTGCAGACCTAAACTATTGGAGAAACTCGCGCGTTCTCACGCACGGAGTCCCGATAGGAAAGGTGTCCTCTCACATCCCAGTATTCACGGATGCGTCCCTGACGGGATGGGGAGGGACATGTCAGACACAAGCGATAGGAGGTGTGTGGCCTCAATCAGGTCGTCACATCAACCTCCTGGAGTTGGAAACGGTTCGACTGGTTCTGACCCACTTCGCGTCTACCCTTCGGGGTCGCGATGTGATGGTCTGGTCAGACAACCGGACCACAGTAGCCCACATAAATCGCCAGGGAGGAGTCAGGTCTCCTGCTCTCCATCGGGCGGCAGAGGAATTGTGGCTGTGGGCTCACAAGCACCTTCGCTCATTGAGAGCAGCACACATTCCGGGCTACTTGAACGTAGGAGCAGACCTCATGTCAAGAGGGGATCCTCGAGACGACGAGTGGTGTCTGCATCCAGACATTGTTCTCCAGATTTGGGAACAATTCGGGAGAGCCGAGGTGGACCTATTCGCGTCACGCGTGAACGCGCAATGTCCTCTGTGGTTCTCTCTGAGGGAACAGGACGAACCGCCACTGGGAAGGGACGCCTTTGCGCACCAACCGTGGCCGAGAGTTCTCCTGTATGCATTCCCTCCGCTGTCCTGCATTCTCCCACTGCTAGCCAGGGTGAGGTCAGGGGGGCTGTCAGTGATACTGATAGCGCCCGATCGCCCCGGGGCTCCGTGGTTTGCGGAGATGAGTCAGATGTTGATTGCGCCACCTTGGCCAATTCCACATCGACGGGACGCGTTGTCTCAGGCGGCTGGCACGATAGGGAAATTGCCCATAATCGGCCAACCACTGAAGGCCTGGCTGCTGAGAGGGACAGGCTAGAGCGCCATGGGTTATCTGATGCAGTGATCAGGACCATACAGGGTTCACGTGCCAGTTCCACTTCTAAGATGTATGCCAGTAGATGGAACGTGTTTTCACGATGGTGTGTCACACAAGGTGTGGACCCCATGAGCTGTCAGGTGGAGAGTATTCTCTCTTTTCTACAGCTCATGTTTGATTTTTAAAAAAAATCGCCTGCCACGATTAGAGTGTTTGCAGCAGCGATTTCAGCTTGTCATGAGGGTTTTGGCAGAGACAATGTCTTTAGCCACCCTCTAGTGAAACGCTTCCTATTAGGAACGCGGCGACTTAGGCCAACACCTAGAGTCACGCTTCCTCAGTGGGATTTGGCTTTGGTACTCGAAGTGCTATGTAAGTCGCCGTTCGAGCCATTGAATCAAATACCCCTCAAGATGCTGTCTATAAAGACAGCACTGTTGCTCGCTTTGACTACAGCTAAGCGGGTCAGTGATTTGTGTGCTCTTTCGACGAGACCTGACTGCTTGGCCATCAATGGTGACCTGAGCAGAGCAGTGTTACGTCCTAACCCGGCATTTGTGCCGAAGGTTATTAAGAGTTCATATAGGTCACAGACCGTGGAGCTGTGGGATTTTTCTCCTCCTCCTCATAGAGAGAGGAGTGAGGAAAAGCTCTATCGCCTGTGCCCGGTACGCGCTTTGGCGTGTTACGTCGAGCGCACAGCAGCGATTAGGTCATCGCCTCAGTTGTTTGTGTGTCACGGTGCGGCTGCACTAGGTAGACCACTTTCAAAACAGAGGTTGTCTCACTGGCTTTGTGAAGGCATTGAGACAGCTTATGAGGTAGCAGGGTGGCAATTGCCTCAGGGTATCAGAGCTCACTCCACTCGTGGAGTAGCGGCTTCTACTGCCCTTTTCAGAGGAACAGGAGTAGAGGATATCTGTAGAGCAGCATCCTGGTCGACGCCATCTCCATTTATCCGTTTCTATCTCTTAGATATGTCTTCTAATTCTCTGGCTCGATCTGTACTCAGCGTGGCTGAAGGGAGATTTTGAGCAAGAAAGAGACACAGGTTTCCATCAGGTCCGCTTTGGTTAGGAAGACGTGTTTTTGACAGATGTGTTTTCTAACTCTTTGGCTCGGTCTGTACTCAGCATAGCTGAAGGGAGATCTTGAGCTAGGAAGAGAGGGAAAAGCAGGACTATGGACAGGGTTTCCATCAGGTCCGCTTTGGATAAGAAAACATATTTGGTGGCATGAATCCTGACTGACAGGGTCAGTACAGTAGAGGCATGCGTTGATTAACAGAATGTGAGGTCATCTATCTGCTTGTTCAGTTAGTATGACTCATGTTTTTGTTCCTGCCCACTAATCTCTGGGATTCCATTGAGTGAGTGAGGCGGTCTACCGCGTTCACAATGTAGAGTGACACTTGATGTCATTCCATTAGTGGTCGGTAGTGTTTTCACAGGATATTGAGGCACATCTATCTGCTAGTACAGATTAGTATGGCTTCTATTCTGGTGATCTGCCCACTAGTCATTGGCATTGCCATTGGACTAGGTGGGGCGGGTCTTTTAACCGATGACGCGGTATATTGTGACGCCCGTAGGGGTTTTTAGTTGCAGTACTGCGGGACTCGGTTGCAGCCATTGCTGGGCCTGACTTTCTCGTTTCGATGGGAAGTGTTAGGCTCGGCAGGGAGTACATTTTGGAGCGCTACGCTCCGCCTTAAACCACTAGGAGCAGAGCTCCCCTATGGGGCGGAGCTCCACGATATAGAACGATTAGTTACCGGAGTGTAACTCCAGTTCTATGAGTGGAGCGGAGCCCCATAGGACTTAAGGCCCTGCCGACCCTCTCTAGTCTCGCTGAAGATAAATATCTCGGGAGGCTGATTGAGGGGAGGCATCCCCTCTTATAGGGACACCTGTACTCCTATTGGCTGTAGGTGTGTGCATAATTTTGTCTCAGGCTGCTGCTGCCTTAGGGCAGAGGGTAAACCACTAGGAGCAGAGCTCCCCTATGGGGCTCCGCTCCACTCATAGAACTGGAGTTACACTCCGGTAACTAATCGTTTCACTAGCCAATCTGTTTTTTCTTTTTTTTTTGCAAGGGCGTTACTGTCTCTGGCTGTGTGGAAAGTAATCCGCCGATACTCTGTGCCACAAAATGAGTGACAAAACCTGGCGAGATCATTACATGTCATCACTCAAGTTAAAGTCGAGTCCTGAGTTTTGAGGCTCCAAATCAAGTTATTTTACTTTCTATCAAGTTTAGTCTCAAGTCATCAAACGTGTCCAAGTCATGTGACTCGAGTCCACACCTCTGGCGAAAATGCTACGAAAATTCACTTGTATCGAAGTGGCATACATGGAAACTACTCTTGCGTAAAAAAATAATTTAGTGTGTTTCACTTTATATGTTCCACTATGAACCCATTCAGAGCGTTAATTATATTGCGCAAATAAAGACATTAGGTATTTTATAATAATACATGTGTAACATTATCTGTTTTAAATATGTATATATTAGTTATGAAACAAATATAAATTAGATGTTATTTTGAGGTCCCTACTCTTACCCTAGCCCCTAACCTTAACTATAAGCCTTACCTAACCTGTACCCTATCCTTCACCCTTACCTTAACCATTTACAATTTCAACTTCAACGGGGTATCGACGTCCCTAGGATCCATTTTCCATTTTTATTTTGAGCGATTGAATTAATGACACACGGTGGTTTTAACGGGACACACTCTTTTCACGTAACTTCGATACCAACTACGAACGGAAGTGATTTTCGTAGCAGGTTAGGAGTGCATTTTCGCAAACCCTAAACCCTTTCCTGAATTTAACTTCTCCTAACCTGTTACGTTAATTATCCTAACCTAGTACGAATAACCGGAATAAGTTACTTCCGGTCATAGCTTGTATCGATGTGGCGTGTACAAGAGTGTTTGTCGATTTTAACGGGCTTCACACGAGTTCATCGTCACTTCCTGTAACTCGCGGATAAAGACGGACCTGGCAGCACCGAGTTTGGGAGCTTCGCGGGTCAATTTTTTGAGTTTGCTTGGCGTGATCCGAGTTACATCGGAGCCATCAGAACTGCAACTATGGTAAGCCTTTATTCTTGACTCAATTGAGGTATGATCCACGTGTTTTATGATATATTTTAGTTTTTTATTCAGTGGAAATGTAATCTGTCCCAGTGATGAACGTCAGTGCAACGTAGGCTTGTAGGCCTTTGTTGCACTCGTAGCTATTGAAAGACTACGATGGCTAACTAGTTACAGTCGCTATTTGAAACAAATTGCGTACGGTATGATCATGTTGTGTAATGTGCTTTCGCATACAGTTTTGACCAGCACTTCCATGCCAAACCAAACCCTGGCCGTAGTTGACCATGACCAGAACTTGTTTAGCTAACGTAGCTAGCTAGCGTTAACGCTAGTTGGTTGGCTGCATGATCATGCCTGGCTGCATTCAGCCACGTTAGACTTCTAGGCCGCCAACGTTATCATTATTGTATGTTGCCATCGAAATGTCCACCTGACAATGTCCTTGTTTTTGTCGTGGCAGAAGTGCCGCTTGTTTAATTGTTCAACAACTGCTAGGCCAGTTTTTTTTTTTTTTTTTTTTTTTTTTTTTTTTGTAGCTAGCGTTACTTGGCTAATTTACTAGTTGGGCTAGCTGGACAATTAATCTGTAAACCAACCAGGTTGTTCAATCTAGAACCTACCTAGTTTTCTAGTTGCAACAATCAAGGCTCCTCCTTTTTGATCTTCAGGTCTGAACATGATCAGATCGTTTGTTCAGAATTTATTAGTTTCCCTGCCAGCAATGATGGCCAATAACCAGTGGGTAACTTGGATCAATGTGGGATGTTTGGGTTTTCTTAGTATAGTGTCGTCGCAAATTTGAACGAATTGATTTACACCTCTTATTTTGCAGACTGTTGGAAAGAGTAGTAAGATGCTGCAACACATCGACTTCAGGATGCGGTGCATCCTGCAGGACGGTCGTATCTTCATCGGGACTTTCAAAGCCTTTGACAAACACATGAACCTCATCTTGTGTGACTGTGACGAGTTCAGAAAGATCAAGTAAGTAATTGGGTTTCTTTGTAAAGAACAATGAGTAATTGCTTTTGGGTCTCAATATCCTTAAATCTGCCACTATCAAATGGGGTGAGTTAAGAAAGGTAGAGACCATGGTTCTGTTGCAGTGATTGATCATTAAAGCTGAACCTAATGTTGAAACAATGCATTAGAGGTGAGCCAGCAACTGGATGGTTGCCAGTTCTAATCCTGGGTCTGACTGTACAAATTTGACAGGAAGTAAGATGGCAACTGGAGGGTTGCTGGTATCAGATCCTACATGCGATCAACGGCCACTTTGCCCTTCAGCAAGGCACTTAATCCTAATCTCAACCGAGAACAGTTACCACTATCCGTCCAATTGTACACAAGGTCAAAAGGAAATGTGACTTCTGCTTTATCCCAACTCCTCCGAAAGACTCAACAGGTTGGCGCAGTTGTGGGGGGTTAAGTTTGTTATATTCCTTTCCAGACTAGGATATAGAAGGTAAATGTATATTGTGCTTTAACCCCGACTCTCCCCCTTCTTGACAGGCCCAAGAATTCCAAACAGCCTGAGCGTGAAGAGAAGAGGGTACTGGGCCTTGTGCTGCTCAGAGGAGAGAATCTGGTCTCCATGACAGTGGAAGGACCCCCTCCCAAAGATGTAAGACATTCCTCACCACCTTCTGTAGGGTTTCTGTTGTGTACATTCTCCGTGTCTTTGTCATACTGAAGGCTTTTTATCAGCCAGTGGGTTTCCTAGTTAATGGTTGGCTTACTTGGATCAATGTGGGAGGTTTAAAAGTTAGTTCGTTCTGTGGCAGTGATGATCATTTTAGCTGAACCTGATGCTGAAACCAATTGAAGCAGGATTACTCTGAGCCCAGAGCCATTTACTTAACTGAGTTTTAACTTTACTTAGAAATTCATGGAACTGTTATCTGACCTAGTGTTGCCCCTGTTTCAGACTGGCATTGCCCGTGTGCCCCTGGCTGGTGTGGCAGGAGGCCCAGGAGTTGGCAGGGCAGCTGGCAGAGGCGTCCCCGCTGGAGCACCCATGCCCCAGGCACCCGCAGGCCTCGCTGGGCCGGTCAGAGGAGTAGGCGGCCCCTCGCAACAGGTATGCCCAAGGTCATGGGTCACACGTTTCCTCTTGTGATCCCATCTGCGTTTTACTGGAAACTAAACATGGATAATGGCTATATGGTGGACAATTACTGGTGATTAGCTTTCACCTTTTCAGTTCTTGGAAGTTTTAAAAGGTTGAGACATTGGTTCTGTTGCGGTGATGAATTTCATTTGAGCTGAACCTGATGCTGATGAAGCTCATTGAAGCAGGATTACTCTGAGCCCAGAACCAGTGACTTTCCAAGGATTTTTCTGTAATTTAAATCCTTGGGTGGGCAGTCTATATTTTTTTTCATTTAGCCAAAGTCCAAACAATGTTTATATACATTTTTAATTGAAATGATTAAAGATGTAAAGTATGTGGAGAAGATGATGGGGACCTATATAATCTGACAACTAACAATCACCTAAATGAAACTGCCAGTATTTAATAGGATTTGATCGCCCTGTTGAAGCCCTGGTGCTGCACCACTTGGTTTGACCACTGAGTGTTAAATACGGTGCCTTACCCCCCCCCAAGGTGATGACCCCACAGGGCAGGGGAACAGTCGCTGCAGCAGCAGCTGGTGCCACCCTCGCTGGTGCCCCCACACAGTACCCACCAGGCAGAGGAGGACCCCCTCCCATGGGTCGCGGTGCACCCCCTCCAGGTAAGGACTGAATCACAACGGCTACCTAGTTTTAATTTGAAGTGGAAAGAATGAGACCTTGATTCTGTTGCGGTGATGATTGATCATTAGAGCTGAACCTGATGCTGAAACATTACTTCAGCAGGATTACTCTGAGCCCAGAACCATATGATCAACTTTTGTATTTAGCAAGTGTATATTGATGCTTGCATAGTCATTTCTAGACTAGGATTAACATAATCAATGCTTTGCCCCCTACAGGGATGATGGGCCCTCCCCCAGGCATGAGGCCTCCCATGGGTCCTCCAATGGGAATGCTACCTGGCCGCGGAGGTCCAATGGGCATGCCCCCTCCCGGCATGAGGCCGCCACACCCAGGCATGAGAGGTGAGGGTGACTTACATTCAGGATTCTGAGTAAAGGAGTTTAATATAATGTTTGGCTGCGTTTACACAGGCAGCCCAATTTTGATCTTTTGCCACTAATTGGTCTTTTGATCAAAAGATCAGAATTGGGCTGCCTGTGTAAACGCAGCATTTGAGACATTGGTTCTGTTGCGGTGATGATTTTCATTTGAGCTGAACCTGATGCTGATGAAGCTCATTGAAGCAGGATTACTCTGAGCCCAGAACCATGCACTCTCAGTCCGAGGTTTCTTTCGTTCTAGGGAGGTTTTATGTTAAAATGAGTTTTAATGCTTCATTATTTGACCCGTGGCACTGTTTCCTGTTAATCCTGAATATTCTCTCGTTCCAGGACCACTTCCCCCAGGAATGCGTCCCCCCAGACCTTGAGTCGCCCCACTGGACTGATGTTGTCTTCTAAGTGTACTCCCTACAAAATGGTTCTCTTTAGGCTCCTGTATAGTTTGACTTTTGTATTTTTGTTTTGATTTTTTAATAAAGTGTCATCGACAATTTGTTTTAAAATGTCGGCCTCTGACTGACTTGATATGCAGATGTATGTTGACAAGTGAATAGTGATTCCATGTTTGGCTGAGGCACATGCTCAGTGAGGGTGATTGTTGTACAGACAAGATGGTGGTCTTAATAAATGTATCTGAAGAGAGCTTGTCCTTGCCACTTGCGTTTATCAATCAACCATGCTTTCCAGTTATTCCTATTGATGGATCAGTAGACTGTATTGGGCCAGTTTCCTGACTCTAATCTACGAAGTGGCATGACTGACCACTATTCCAAGCTGGGGGGGGGGTAATGGTAATGGCACAGTCATTGCATAGTTTAATGGCTATTGTCTGACTGGTCATCTTGCCCCAATTTATTTGGATGGAAAATGTCAGTGTGAGTATGTAATATTGGTCTTAAAGTATGAGTGTTATTTTGAAGTCTGAACCATAAATGTCCCACCCTATTGTGGGCTTACTGCATTTCCAAGGAAATCTGTTTTGCCTGGGAAACATAGTAGTCTTGTATTGGCTGAGCACTTTTTCATGATCAAACTAGTTCAGTGGTTCCCTACCACCAACTGAATTTTTGATCTGCCCCGAGTACCCCCTCAGGTACATTTTACCAGTAAGCCTATGGTCTCACGAGTCTTCACAAGTAACCCCTGTGGATAGGCCTAGAACCACTGGACCAGTTGGTATTGCCAAACACCACCAATGGGTTGATCTGATTTATAGCTATGCCTCCATCTTGGCACTCCCTAACCATTCAATATTCTACACACAATACACCATGATGACAAAGCAAAAACAAGTTTAGAAATGTCGGATTTAAAACTATTCACATTTCTATAAGTATTCAGACCACCCTTTACTCAAATGATTGGCAATATGATGCAATACAACTTGATTAGAAGGCCTAGACTACTTCATCCTAATGTAAGCTAAATGCATTGGATACAAACACGCTGGCTTATTATAAAGGAGAATGTCCAATTTAATTATATGCATGCATATCAAACAATGTATTCAGAAAGTATTCAGACCCCTTCACTTTTTTCACATTTTACTTTACAGCCTTATTCTAAATGGATTAAATAGTTTTTTCCCTCATCAAACCCCATAATGACAAAGACAAAACAGGAGTTTGAAAATGTATTAAAAATAAAAAATAACTGAAATATTACATTTACATAAGTATAGCCTCGAGTCTTCTTGGGTATGACGCTACAAGCTTGGTACACCTGTATTTGGGGAGTTTCGCCCATTCTTCTCTGCAGATCCTCTCAAGCTCTGTCAGGTTGGATAGGGAGCGTCGCTATTTTCAGGTCTCCAGAGATGTTAGATCGGGCTCTGGCTGGGCCACTCAAGGACATTGAGACTTGTCCAGAAGCCACTCCTGCGTTGTCTTGGATGTGTGCTTAGGGTCATTGTCCTGTTGGAAGGTGAACCTTCGCCCCAGTCTGAGGTCGAGTACTCTGGAGCAGGTTTTCATTAAGGATCTCTGTAAATTGCTCCGTTAATCTTTCCCTTGATCCTGACTAGTCTCCCAGTCCCTGCCGCTGAAAAACATCCCCACAGCATGATGATGCCACCACCATGCTTCACCATAGGGATGGTGCCAGGTTTCCTCCAGATGTGACGATTGGCATTCAGACCAAAGAGTTCAATCTTGGTTTCATCAGACCAGAGAATCTTGTTTCTCATGGTCTGAGTCCTTTAGGTGCCTTTTGGCAAACTCCAAGCAGGCTGTCATGTGCCTTTCACTGAGGAGTGGCTTCCGACTGGCCACTCTACCATAAAGGCCTGATTGGTGGAGTGCTGCAGAGATAGTTCTTTTTATTTTTAATACATTCCCAAAAATGTCTAAAACCCTGTTTTCACTTTGTCATTATGGAGTATTGTGTGTAGATTAATTAGCAAAATAATTAATTTAATCCATTTTAGAATATGGCTGTAACGTAACAAAATGTGGAAAAAGTAAAGGGATCTGAATACTTTAGGAATTCACTGTACCTCATTGGTTTATATATATCTTTGCATAACACCCGACCCTATCATTACCACAGATGTAGTATTCGCACCAATGCCATAGAGGGCGCTAAACATGTCAACCGCTAAAGTGAACCGGATGTAGATGACCATACGCTTCCTATTTTCGTACATACACGTGTTGCCAGAGGCGTTAGTTCAATAGTATCCTGTCACCCCTCAACTATAAAGTATCATTTAGGGACAAATATATTGCCGCATACTAATGCACATTCAACCAGAGTTGGCACGATTTTGAACTTACCTTGTCAAAATTATTTATCATTAATTCTTAGCTGATTTAGCTAACGGACTAACACCAGCTAGCTATAATTGGGTAGCCGGAACATTGTTTTCTTTGGAACTCTAGCTAGCTAACACAAACAGAACCATGATGTCAGATTTGGACCTGGTCGGGACCATTCAGGACCATGACGATGTGCCCGAGGAGCCTGATTCAGAGTCTGACGACGAAGATGTAAGTTTGGAAACAAGCGTGTCAGACAGTCTTCTACTGATCAAAGTTGCTAGCTTGTTGGATGTCTAGTAACCTGAGTGGAAGTTTGTCTATTGCATTTAGGCAGTCATTCACTAGCTAGTTAATTTACTCCAGGACAGAAGTGTCACTGCATATGAAAATAAATTAGACCCTGATTAACTTCCTGGTGTGTTTCTCCTGGAAGTTAGTATAAGTTACAATACCAGACATTGTGTGTCCTCACTCCACTCTTTGCTAACAGGAACAGCCAATAGTACTCAACAAGAAGAAGAAAGCGTTGAAGGGCCATGGCGCTGGGGACTTCAGCACTGACTTTGAGTTTGGAGAGCGAGATGGACTCTACAGCGAGGACTGGGCCATGGCAGATGTGATGGCACAACTGAAAAAGAGGGTTGGTTGTCAGTCTTAAGAGTATGCAATTTGGCAAAACTAGGTCAAGACTTGAAGCCTGGTTGCCAGTCTTGTGCTTCAGCCAACTCCTTTGTCATTGTTGTAGCAAACATAACTGTCAAATTAGTTGGCCAAAGCAGAGACAGGCTGACATCCAGGTACTTGCTGATTCAACTCAGAAAAAGACTGACCTATTGTTGCTCTGAGTCTGTGCCAAATCATACAACACTGAACTAAATCTGTCCATGTTGTTGTGCTGCTTACGTATGGGTGGTCCTCTGTAGCTCAATTGGTAGAGCATGGCACTTGTAACGCCAGGGTAGTGGATTCGATCCCCGGGACCACCCATACGTAAAAATGTATGCACACATGACTGTAAGTCGCTTTGGATAAAAGCGTCTGCTAAATGGCATATTATTATTATTATTGCTGCAGAAAGCCCCCACCACCCTGGATGAGAAGATTGAGAAAGTACGCAAGAAACGCAAAACGGAGGTAAGATGTCCTGTAGTTTGAAAAGGTAAATTAACATAGTTGTAGGTTGCTGTATTATGGAACCTGCAGACAAGACACATGACAGTTCCTATGATGACTGCTTCAGTGTTTGTGGATAATGGCACGTTCCACTTCCTTCACTGTCTAAATAGGAGAAGGCAGGGGCAAAGACGACAGAAAAACCAGTGATTGCCGAAAAGGAGTCGGAGGACGCTGGAGAGGAAGATGACGAGGAGGAAGATGACGATGAGGAGGAGGAGGAAGATGAGAAACACGATATCGCTGAAGATGGGGCTGAGGTATCAAATGACGAAGACCAGGGTGACGATGACGACGGGGAGGAGTTTACATCAGGGGACGAAGAGGTTCTCACCAAAGCAGGTGGGTAGAGCTTGAAGCATCCAAATTGCATTGTTTTAACATTCACTATTGACACTCAGTAACTTTTAAACTGGGTTTTACTCTCACAGATACTGTGAGGGACAAAGGCAGAAAGAAGAAGAAAACAGAAGAGGTGAGCGCTGAACAGATGGATGGTTTGCACTACTTTAGAGTTGACTGTTGACTGTTTCTGTTGGACCCTGTTATTGCTGCATTGTTATTATTCTGTCTTACTCACTCTCCACCTACAGCCTCCAGAGGCCTTCTTTGAAGATGCCTCAAACTATGACCACAAACTCATGTTTCCTGACATGAACCTCTCCAGACCTATTCTTAAGGTGGGTCACGTTCACTTGGAAATCTGTTAGAAACTGACATTGTACCAAGGTTTGCTTTGGGTGTGTTCACTCAAAGCAGAGTAGTAGGCATTTGCTGCTATAAAGCAGTCATGCATGTATTTGACTGAGACTATAGTTTAATAAAATAAAAAATAAAAATAGCACTCTGTAATGAACATTGTAGCTAAATATCAGTTGAATGTGTAATTTATGACAGTGTTGGCCAGAAATTGAGAAGTTAGACAAGTGTGTTTCACCATGTGTGTCCTCAGGCTATCACCGCTATGGGCTTCAAGCAGCCCACTCCCATCCAGAAGGCCTGTGTGCCTGTGGGGCTTCTGGGCAAAGACATCTGTGCCTGCGCTGCTACTGGCACTGGTAAAGGAGACGTGACAGGACACTCACACACAGACACATGTACAGATAGACACAGACACACACCAGAAGTGTCCAAAACATTGTCAGACCTTTACTGCATTAACGATGGAAGAGTGTGTTATGTTAGTAGATTGCCATGTTTTGGCACAGAGCTGCAGCACTCACGTTTGCTCCCCGCGAGAGTGCGCGCGTGCACACACACACACCATATTTACAATGGTATTGTGAAAAATAGCATCTGTTAAACCTCCCTCCTCCCCTCTCCCCTCCCCCCATTCCTCCCCCTACAACTTCTCACCAGACCCCCCACCACCCCTCCCCCCCCATTCCTCCCCCCCCCACCGCAAGCCCCACCCCCCCCCCCATACGCCACCCCCAATGCACCCCCTCCCCCTCCCAGAACTCAGCCTCCCCAAACCAGCTCCATGCCTCTCCTCTGCTCCCCTCCATCCTCTCCATCCTCCCTCCAATCCTCTCCCCCTCCCCACCCCCCATCCCTCTCCCCCTCCCTCTCTCTTTCTTCATCCTTCCTCCCCTCACATGCCCTCCTCCTCTCCATCCTCCCTCTCTCTCCTCCTCCCCTTCCCTCCACCCCCTCTTCTTCTTCCAGGTAAGACGGCAGCGTTCATGCTGCCTGTGCTGGAGCGTCTCATCTACAAGCCCAAACAGGCCGCGGTGACTCGTGTGCTGGTCCTGGTGCCCACACGTGAGCTGGGCATCCAGGTGCACGCCGTGGCCCGCCAGCTGGCCCAGTTCACCAGCATCACCACCTGCCTGGCCGTGGGTGAGTGAGAAAACCGGACCACTTGATCCAAAATGGCCCCCGATTTTAGAGCCAATATGGCCGACGTCTGTGTCGATCTCATCTCTGGTAGTATGAAGCTGGTTGGCAACAGTTGTGCAGCTGCCATCCTATTCTGCTCCCAGACCATAGTAGTTGGCTGTTCGGTGCTAATCGTGGACCAGGCTATCATCTTCCCACGCGAGTTAATTTGAATTTATGATTAGTTTAATATACTTTTCTGTTTACTCCATGGCGTTATTCAACGGGAGATTTTGTCATACATAAGTTATGATGCAAATATTTAGTTGCATGGAATATAACCAATGAATGTGTTACGTAATGATTTAAAGACAGGGTCAGGAATCATGCTGTCTTTTTCTCTCTGTGTTTGTGTGTGGATGCCTCGTAGGGGGTCTGGACATCAAATCCCAGGAGGCGGCATTGCGGATGGGACCTGACGTCCTGATCGCCACGCCAGGTCGACTGATTGACCATCTGCACAACACGCCCTCCTTTGAGCTCAGCCAGATTGAGATCCTCATCTTGGACGAGGCCGACCGGTAAGACTGTTATAGGCCAATCCATCCATAGGAATGAATGAGACGCAGTTTTCATAACTTGGTCTAGTTATTGATATAAGTCTATGGTAAAACCCCATTCGTCTGGACCATCTTACCAACAGATACAGTATTAAGGCCTATCGTTTACAGGCTAAATACATTTTCAACATAGGATTATTTTATTTTTTTCTGGGTCGTTTTCATCAGTAGGCAACAAATGGACGAAAACAAAGTAAAACGTGGAGGGACTGCCTGGACTTTTGTTTTTGTTGCAAAACATTAAAAAATGTTTTCCGTTGTGTGCCCTAATGAATACAGCCCAGATTTTCACTTGTATTTTGTCATTTCCGTGCATCATAATAGTTCCCCTAAATTGCAGGATGCTGGACGAGTACTTTGAAGAGCAGATGAAGGAGATCATCAGGATGTGTGCCTACCAGAGACAGACCATGCTTTTCTCTGCCACCATGAGCGAGGAGGTGAGGATGACAACCTGCATTCCTTTATTATCATCACATTTGGCCACCAAACCTGGTCTAGGATAAATACAGGGTGTGTTCCAGCTCAGCGCTTACCCACCCGACTGGACTTGTCATCATCTTGATGATTGGCTGAAGAATTGAGTCAGTGTCTGGTGATGGTGCACCATCATGGCTTGTGTTGACACATACTGCTTATTAATCCATTCTGATCACTAGTGATTCGTTTTCCATTCCTTTTCTGTGTCGTTTATTGAAATAGTGTTCTCTCTCACAATCTCTCTCTTTCACGTCGCCCTCTCTCCCTCCCTCCAGGTGAAAGACTTGGCGTCGGTCTCTCTGAAGCAGCCGGTTCGTATCTTTGTGAACAGTAACACAGACGTGGCACCCTACCTTAGACAGGAGTTTGTCAGGATCCGACCGGCCAGGGAAGGAGACAGGGAGGCTATTGTGGCAGGTGAGTGGTCTGGATGACTATCACAGTCCATTTGTTCTGTATACTGTGGAGTATAGTACTACATGTAGCAGAAAGTTCACTGTGGAGTATAGTACTACATGTAGCAGAAAGTTCACTGTGGAGTATAGTACTACATGTAGCAGAAAGTTCACTGTGGAGTATAGTACTACATGTAGCAGAAAGTTCACTGTGGAGTATAGTACTACATGTAGCAGAAAGTTCACTGTGGAGTATAGTACTACATGCAGCAGAAAGTTCACTGTGGAGTATAGTACTACATGTAGCAGAAAGTTCACTGTGGAGTATAGTACTACATGTAGCAGAAAGTTCACTGTGGAGTATAGTACTACATGTAGCAGAAAGTTCACTGTGGAGTATAGTACTACATGTAGCAGAAAGTTCACTGTGGAGTATAGTACTACATGTAGCAGAAAGTTCACTGTGGAGTATAGTACTACATGTAGCAGAAAGTTCACTGCTCAGCTTGTTCAACCTTGTGCTTTTCCATTTCTCTTCCAATCTGGTGAATAACTGTTTGTGTGTGTTGTCTCCTGGGTCTGTGTGTGTGTTGTCTCCTGGGTGGGTCTGTGTGTGTGTGTTGTCTCCTGGGTGGGTCTGTGTGTGTGTTGTCTCCTGGGTCTGTGTGTCTCAGCCCTGCTGACGCGGACGTTCCAGGACCACGTGATGCTGTTCACCCAGACCAAGAAGCAGGCCCACCGGATGCACATCCTCCTGGGCCTGATGGGGCTGAAGGTGGGAGAGCTGCACGGAAACCTGTCCCAGACCCAGAGACTGGAGAGCCTCAGGTACCTAGACTCTCTCCAACTAAACTGCCAAGCTACACTTGGCTCCTAACTTTTCAGTGAAACCTGGGCGAAGCAGTGTGGCAGTTCTGCGAGAGGCTTGCTCAGCTTAGAATTACCCTCTGGTTTTATTTTCAGGAATTCAACGCGTGGCTCACGCCGGAGAACTCTGGATTAAGTGGGCTTGTGCTCTGCTCACGCCGTCTAAAGCTATGCTTCCAGTGTAGCAGCTAAAACCTTACTGTTTTTGTGACGCCCCAGTGTAGCGCCCCTGTAACTCTGACAGCCCCAGTATTTCCTGATGTTATACTACAGGGCCAAGCAAAGCCGAGCTGTACCGTGCTGGAATGGTTACACATCCAACATAGTTGCTGGAACGGTGCTGTAATGGACAATGTGTAAATAAACTATCCGAGCCAACACAGTAGGATTTGGGTCGGCCCTACAGTGTGACTCAGACTTATCAGTTGAATACATACCCAGCCATCACCACGCCTTGAGACGAATTCAGACAAAGGTGATGGCTGAGTATACAAGTATGCTGTGACTCACAATACAGTAGCTGGATTGATCTCAAAAACTCAGTTTTCTGCTGTTCATAAGAACAGCGAGGAGCAGTGTGACAATGACAGTATTGAGTTGAGATGCGTTAACCCAAACAAGGGTTATGTAAGATGGAGTAAATAATTTAATGTATCTCATCATAGTAAATAGTTTTGTATCTCATCATAGTAAATACGTTTGTGTATCTCCATCATAGTAAATAGTTTGTGTATTTCCATCATAGTAAATAGTTTGTGTATTTCCATCATAGTAAATAGTTTGTGTATTTCCATCATAGTAAATAGTTTGTGTATCTCATCATAGTAAATAGTTTGTATCTCCATCATAGTAAATAGTTTGTGTATCTCCATAGGCGGTTCAAAGATGAACAGATTGACATCCTTGTGGCCACAGACGTTGCGGCTAGAGGTCTGGATATCGACGGAGTCAAGACGGTAAGGGTTAACTGTAAAGTGTTTATGTGCTAGGAAAATGTTGTTTCTAAGGAAAATGCTTTACAAGAACACTTGACATTATTGAACTGCTTTCATCACTGATTAGTTAGACAAATCACTACGGAGAGAGGGGGGAGGAGCTACCGCCCTGCGGAGAGAGGGGGAGGAGCTACCGCCCTGCGTAGAGAGGGGGGAGGAGCTACCGCCCTGCGTAGAGAGGGGGAGGAGCTACCGCCCTGCGGAGAGAGGGGGGGAGAGCTACTAAATTGGTGTGAGATCTACCTCCCTGCTTAATGCGAGTAGCTGACGGAGAGAGTTGGGATATCAAACGCCTTCGAGAGAGGAGAACTCCTCCCTCGGATAAGTAGGTCACCAGCCCAAGAGAAGCCCGCCTCGGAGAGGAGATGCAGCTAACGCCCTCTTGCTCCTCCCCAAGGGGGTGAGCTTACCGCCCGAAAGGGGAGAGCTACCGTCTCACAGGGGGGCGACGGCCCGTGCCTGGGAAGGGTGGGGTGCTCCGTCCCTGGGGAGAGGAGGGGAAGATGCTAAGGACATTTGTTCGTAGCCCATCCCCTGAACCTTTGCGTACTGACGACAAGTAAGTAATCAAAGCTGGCATACTGTAGAAGAAACCGTTTCTCTTATGGTCCATACCCCGAAGCTTTCTCGTATTAATCCCCGAAGCTCCTCAGGTGATACAAAACACTGAACGATGTCCTTGAGCCGCACTTACCCGTAATTGCTCTGTGTCTGGTCGGACTAGGGTGGTAACCGAAAGGTCGCTGGTTCTAATCCCCGAGCCGACTAGGTGAAAAATCTGTCGATGTGCCCTTGAGCAAGGCACTTAACCCTAATTGCTCCTGTAAGTCGCTCTGGATAAGAGCGTCTGCTAAAATGACAAAAAATAAATGAAAAATACCACGACCCTATTGAAATACTGCAGAAATGCATCCTTCCTTCCTTGTGGTAAGGTCTTTAAGTGTTTGGATCGGTGTTAGCAAGGATATCACCCCGTTACTTTTACCAATTCAAATCTGCAATTCCTTAAAGGAAGGATTAATTTTCTAGACTATTCAAAAGTACATTTCTATCTCAATGGGACTCACATGGGTGAATAAATCAAACCTAATAAAAGGAACCTTGGTATACCTACCACTCATTCAAGATACTGTGTGTTGTTCATTTAAAGGGAGAGTCTAGTCCACCAAAAAATATACATTTGAAAGTTTTTCTGAAATGGTTTTATTCAATTTCATGGCCGCTAGGTAAATGGATGGATCATTTTGTTGAGGTTGCGCCTTTGTGATGACTGTGAGCGGTTTTCTCTCCTTCAGAGGTGATTCTGAAGTTGTCTCTCCTTCAGAGGTGATTCTGTGAGTGGTTTTCTCTCCTTCAGAGGTGAGACTGTGAGCGGTTTTCTCTCCTTCAGAGGTGAGACTGTGAGCGGTTTTCTCTCCTTCAGAGGTGAGACTGTGAGTGGTTTTCTCTCCTTCAGAGGTGAGACTGTGAGCGGTTTTCTCTCCTTCAGAGGTGAGACTGTGAGCGGTTTTCTCTCCTTCAGAGGTGAGACTGTGAGCGGTTTTCTCTCCTTCAGAGGTGAGACTGTGAGCGGTTTTCTCTCCTTCAGAGGTGATTCTGATGTTTTCTCTCCACCAGAGGTAATTCTGAAGTTCAGAGACCTGATTGAGAAGCTGGAGAAGGACGTGTACGCCGTGATGCGCCTGGAGAGAGAGGAGAGGGCCATGTCTCACTCAGAGGCTCAGGTAAAAAGCTGCATGTTGTGTGTGTGTGTGTGTGTGTGTGTGTACTTGTGTTCATCTGTGTATACATGGTAGTGTATTCCTATGCTCATGTGTGTGTATTGTGTGTGTGCGCGCACGTGTCAATGTGTCATTCAGATCAGCGTGGCACAGAAGCGGCTGGCACAGAACGCAGACGAGACGGATCCCCAGAGGATGTGGTTCCAAACGCACGACGAGCGCAAAAAAGACCGAAGTGAGTACCACAGACCAACACACATTATAGGCCTGTCAACCTCACTACTGCTAGATGGAATCTTCCTCACTACTGCTAGACGGCATCTTCCTCACTACTGCTAGACGGCATCTTCCTCACTACTGCTAGACGGAATCTTCCTCACTACTGCTAGATGGCATCTTCTGATCCCAGCATGCCGTTAGATGTGAAACTACATAAAGTGCATTACCATGGACAGAATAGCTCATCTCACTGCAACCCATGCACATGAGCTCGACTACAGCTCAACTTAAACAGGCCCTTGACTAAGACCCAGCTAGGGTCAAAACTTTGTATGTAAATCAAAATGAGCCTTTTGGGGCATAACTGTCTGTGAGCTGATGTATTTGTTTTCTTTGAGCTGTTTGTGAGCACCTTGTAAAGGTGGGCATATGACCCCTAAAAGCACATAGGGACAACTGAGCCCCATTTGCATCATTCATGATTTATCCCTTTCACCCTTGTCTCTGCCAGTGACCAAAGCTCTGGAGCATCACTTTAACCGTTCACCCTTGTCTCTGCCAGTGACCAAAGCTCTGGAGCATCACTTTAACCTTTCACCCTTGTCTCCGCCAGTGACCAAAGCTCTGGCCGACTTTGACTTGGCCCTGAGAGGAAAGAAGAAGAGGGAGAAGTTCATCAAGGAGGGGAAAAAGAAAGAGTTGTCGGTATGTGTGCTAATTTAGCTTTTCTGGTAGACTACGACTTTGTGTTTGATTTTGTTCATCGTTTTCCTTGATCTTCTGTCTTTTCTCTGTGTACTTAAAAATAATGTTAACAGAATTCCCCATTAAGGGTGTTTCCACTCAGGAATCTTGATTTTATCGTTTACATATTTTATAGCATCAAAACCATTTACATTTGACTAATAATCTGCTGTTTATGACCTCTGTTCACTAAATATTGTATTGAACTAGTTCTAAACCCGTAAGGCATGCATACAGCTGAAAGTCCAACTTAGGCTAGCTGTCTCCAAGCTATCAGTCCTGTCATCTAGACATTTATGTTTACCTTGCATTCTTTGCAGTCATTTTGTAGTTCTCCGGGTAGACGGATGTCCATATAATCTGAGCTTTATTACTTTGACCATACATTTAAACATTTAAAGCTAGCTAGCTTTTTTCTTCCTCTACTTGTCACCACTGAAATTCAATTAGCTATGGTGACATTTATGTTGTGAATGACCACATATCCCTATCATTTCTATAGAACTTAGAATACATGGTCATATACATGTTAATTATACAGGAGACAAGGGTGAAATGTTAAAGTGACGCTCCAGAGCTTTGGTATCATGGTTGAGGTAAATTCCATTTTTGGAATAGGAATTTCAGTTAACTTCCTGAATTGATATGATTTGACCCCAACCCTGTTATGTGTACACACATTATTCATCATCTTTTTGTCAAGTGCTATTCCGGTTAGCTATGTATATTTTCACTGTTTTCTCTCTGTGTGCTTCTCAGTCCGAGGACAGAGCCCAGTTTGAGATCCTCAAGTCCCAGATGTACGCTGAGCGAGCAGCCAAGAGGGACCGGAAACCCAAACGAGCCAGGGCCATGCCAGAGGACGAGGCCGTCCAGAAAGGTGGGTCTTCTATCATATACTTTACAACTTCTAATGACTCATATTCTATAAAGAACTGGGCCAATGTTCACTAAAAGTGCTGATCCAGGATCCGTTTAGATCATAATGAATAGGATCATAATGAATAACATTACATGGACAGGGGGTGGGGCCTGATCCTAGATCAGCACTTCTACTCTTTTATTATTTTATTTGTATTTTACCTTTATTTTACTAGGCAAGTCAGTTAAGAACAAATTCTTATTTACAATGACGGCCAAACCGGACGACGACGCTGGGCCATTTGTGCGCCGCCCTATGGGACTCCCAATCACAGCCGGTTATGATACAGCCTGGAATCGAACCAGGGGGTCTGGTTCCAAAAAAATAAAATATGTAGTGACGCCTATAGCACTGAGATGCAGTGCCTTAGACCGCTGCTCCACTCTGGAGCTTTATGAATACAGGCCCTGGTCTTTCATTTTCTATGTTCCCAAGTGGCTTGTAAGACTTCCACGGCCACCACTATCATCCCAATGTGGACATTAAGCACTTTGGTGTTCAGGCACATTCATATCTGATTGCAGTGTGCAGGCACACCTCTTCCTGTTTTAACCAGCAGCGAACAAAATGCAATTGTTCATGTTTTTTGTGTGTGAAGCAGTTGTTTTTTTGCTGCATGCATTGGGACCCTTGCTTTGGGCTCTTGTGTGCTTCCTTAAGATGTATGAAACTGTTTACAAGGTGCCCCTCCTTACAACTCTGTTAGACCAATTCACCTCTGTTCTCCCGGGGAGAAAAACTCCCAAGGCCCCATACTAATACTCTGTACATAACTAAATACTGCATAATACTACGAAATGGAGGTCACACATAACACACATAACTAAATACTGGGTCCTACTACATAACTAAATACTGGGTCCTACAACATAACTAAATACTGGGTCCTACAACATAACTAAATACTGGGTCCTACAACAATAACGAAATACTTTGGGTAACTACTGAGCTCTGGACATAACTATGATTGGTCACTTTCTGTCCTTAACTAAATACTGGGTTCCCTACTAGAAATAACTAATTACTGAGGTCCTTTTAAACTACTGAAAAAGGGAACAAAAATCCTACAACGGTAACTACTAAAACGGGGAGTGGTCTACAACATAACTCATGATGGTTGTGGTATTTCTGAGCCTTGGACATTAGAAAAAAACGAGCTAAACAGAAAGCTGGTAAACCAGCCAAGAAGTCTGTATTTGACAAAGAACTTACAAACACCAGTAAGAAAGCACTCAAGCAGTACAGAGCTGGGTAAGTGTCTTTCCTAAACGTAGTTAATACCCTAACTGCACTGAAACGTTGAAAACCACGCAGGAAACCTGGCTGTATGTAGGTGACGTGTAATGTATTTTATTTCATTTCGCACTCAGACCCTCCTTTGAGGATAAGAAGAGGCTGGGAATTCCAACTAACAAGAAAGGAGGCGGCTTTAAGTCCAAGGCCAAGTAAGTGATGGGTCATATTTTGTGGATTCCTCTTGACCATAGCACAATATCCACCAGACTATGATCTTACAATGGCTCATGTTTATCTGTGGTTTTCTGTCGTTTTTGCAGTGACACTTAATTTTGAAATATTTAAATATATTACCAGTGACATGATAAGTATAACCGTGACCCGTCATTATGACCAATGATTGTTCCCAGCTTTGGGTTTTCTGGGGAGGGGGCTTGGCAGGTGTTTGAGTCACTGTTCAAATTACCATAACAGCTGCTCCAATGCTATCCATGTGTACTGTGCCATAAAAATATAATTAATTAATTGTATTTCTATGCACTGTAGTATTCTGTTGATACGTTGGTTCTGTTTGAGGTTTAGCTCCATGTGTCCTGTAATAATGTTTTGATGCGTTGGTTCTGTTTCAGGTTTAGGAGAAAGTAAGAGTTGCATCAATGGGAAAATGACAAGACATGCAAATTGGATGGATAGATTCACCTCCAGTGTATCTTTTATTGATGTTACAAGTGTCTTTCTTCTTAAATCACTTTTCAGTGAGATCATAATGGAAAGAAAGCATGACTACAAAGAGAGAGACTGAAAAGGATTTAGCTGAAACCCCTTAATTTCATTAGCCTCAGATTGTTCTATGTGCCCTCTCTTAGTTTGACATGTCAGACACACATGCAAACAAACACACATACAGGTTGCAGTGTGTAACCATACCAGGGTTTTATATAACATGTTGTAGCTTCATTAAAAAATATAGTGCTGAGAAACATGTCCTTTGAAGATAAAAGTTTAATATGTATTATTCTGAGTGATGGGTTTTTCATGCAAGTCTCGAATGGCCATCAGCGTCCTTGCAGCAGTGGAATCCATGTATGGGATTATATGTTGGTTCTTGTTGCAATAATGTATCTTATAAAGTCTACAAAATGGTGACTCATGGCCTGTTTTCATAAAACAACTAGCTAGTCCACGATACAGCCTCATCCCCAGGCTCAGTTGCTACAACAGAGAGAGCGATTCATACCGCTGCACTGGCAATCTTTTAACTTCCAAAGTGTTTATGATTAGCCATACTGACAAAAAAGAGCACCTTAGTATTGCTCAATATGTGTTTTCGTAAACGTGAAAATGATTTTTTACATTTAAGTCATTTAGCAGACGCTCTTATCCAGAGCGACTTACAAATTGGTGCATTCAATTTATGATAGCCAGTGGGACAACCACTCCTTTTTTTATTTTTTTTATGGGGGGTGGGGGAAGAAGGATTACTTTATACTATTCCAGGTATTCCTTAAAGAGGTATGGGTTTCAAATGTTTCCGGAAGGTGGTCACTGACTCCGCTGTCCTGGCGTCGTGGCCATGATCACTCTATAAAGTAATGTCAACATAATATTTTACCAACAGTAGGGCGTGTAGTTTCATTTGTGATTCACCTGCACTTCATATGTTGGAAAGCGAAACTGACCGCAAACAGGAACTGGTCTGGGCCCATTTCAAGAGCACTTCACGGAATTCCCCAACACTGATCTGCATAGACGAGGACTGTAACAGAGCGAATCATTACTGTTAACCAGACAAGGACTACTGAAATACGTTTATTTAAAAGTTTTATGTAATCTGCAAATGGGGACCGAAATCCCATGAAAAATATTAAGACGTCCATCAAAGGTAAGCAATTTTATTGAACTATGTAGAATAAAAATGTATCACATATGACCACCCTATTTCGACTAGTAAATACAACACTGGATCAGATGTAATGTCAGTCACTGCTTGATTTAGACACTTGGGGAACAGTTCAAATCGTATTCCTTGTTTCAAAATTGGCACTGCTTGTCTTCGTGAGAGGTATTGGCATGTTAAAATCACCGACCTGTCTGTTTAAGCGACTAGCGCACAGCTCAGACATCCATACATGCCACCAGACGTCTTCGCAGTCCCCAAGTCCAGAACAGACAACGGGAAACGCACAGTACTACATAGAGCCATGACTATATGGAACTCAGTCAAGCAATAAAATCAGATTTAAAAAACGGATGAAACTACACTTTATGGATCAGCGCGGATTGTGACGAGACAAACACATGATAACACACGTACTCTATACAAATTGTAATATTGTTATTTTGCTGTATTATTGATTTTGTATAGCAGATATGTTATGGTAGTGTGTAATAATGTGTTGTGTTATGTATTGTTTTATTGTATGTAATTGTGATTGGACACTTAGGAAGAGTAGCTGCAGATCCGGAATAAAATACAAATACAAATTATTCACTATTCATTTGCATCATTCCACGACTGTCCTAAAACACTGACATTTTGGGGTGAAATATTCACCTTTGGTTTCGAGGGATCCACATTTATTTCGATAGATATACTGACTGTTACAATCAATGTATAATTTATTCACTGTAGCCAAGTGACGTAATTTCAGTAGAAATGAAACCTATACCATTTCCACGTTAAAAAAAAAAAACGTCATATTTGTCTATCCACTAGATGGCGTACGGCATCCACCACAGTATACAATAATCATGCATCAATATTAAGTTTGCCTCTGTTTTGGAATGAGTTTTAACAAATTGATCAATTCCATTGTTATAAACATTCAATATGTGTTATGCTGGGTTTCATTTCTTGTCCTAGAGGACCAATAGTAGTTCAGCCTGAATGGAAAACCCAAACAGGGGCAGGAGATGGAGAGGTAGAGGAGCCAACCATGTCGATCACAGAATAGGTAAGGAGATGTATTTTTTGTTTTGTATTAAGTAAGACATGATTGGTATTTCCTCCATTAGATTGACATATATTTCCCTGTTATTTGCCCCTCAGGTGCTGAGGCTGGTCAGAGAGAAGAGGAAGGGATAGCCAACCGAGGGAGAGGGGGAAGAGGTAGGGGGGCCAGGGGAGAGAGGAGAGGTGTTAATAGGGGTAACCTAAGGGAGGATAGGAGAGAGCGAGATGACAGGGCAGGAGAAGGGGAGGGTGCAAGGGGTTGGGGGGGAAGAGGAGGAGGAGAAAGAGTGGGAGGCAGAGGAGGAGAGAGAGGGAGAGGCAGAGGAGAAGTGAGAGGAGGAGGCAGAGGAGGAGAGAGAGGGGGAGGTAGAGGCAGAGGAGAAGTGAGAGGGGGAGGTAGAGGAAGAGGTGGAGAGAGAGGGAGAGGAAGATCTGCAGATGGTGGCGCCCCTCAGGCTCATCCAATGGGGTACAGAACGTTGGAGGAGCTCTCAGGGAAAGACCCTTCAGAAATAGCCATCACTCTGGCCTCCAGTTATGGACTGCAAGCTCTCCTCGACGAGAGAGAGATGCGACAGGACCTCGTTCAGCTCCTCTGCCAAGTCCTGTGCAAGGCCTTCTTGTCCAAAACTGACCGCCGAACCTTACAGCACTTGGCTGGCTTAATCAAGCATTCTGGATTCCTCCGAACCATCCTGCCCCATTATGTGATGGGAATGGGGTCCGAGTTCGACCTCACTCGCCGGGAACAGTACCCCCAGCACTTGGACAACATCATGACCCTTCTCTCTGAGGTGCTCAGGATATTCCCAGCTAGCTCGATCCAGGCCGTGTCCATGATAGTGGCCCTCTTCAGACCAGTCATCAACAGCCTGCGAGCCGTGGGGGTGGATGTCCTGGAGCAGACGGAGGAGAGCCTGGAGAGGATCCAGGACCTGGTGGAGCACCTCCAGGAGAGAGCCAGGGAGGGCACCCTGAAGTCGGACAACTACTCCTTCATCACCCCCCAGGAGGACGCCCCACCTGGGGAGGCCGACTTCAGGGCCCTGCCCATCTACCCAACCCCAGAGGAGATCCACCAGGAACAGAATCCCTTCCTCAGGCCCAACATCATCTCCAACCGCTATGCCAGTGGACTGATCTACCTGGACACGCACTTCCGGCTCATGCGAGAGGACTTTGTGAGACCTCTTCGAGAGGGCATAAAGCAGCTGCTTCAGAGCCAGCAGGACCTGGGCAATAAAGACATCCCTTTGAGGAAGAGGCGCTTCGATGACATCACAGTGTACTTTGACACGCGACTGGTGGTTCCAATGTGCACCCAGTCTGGTTTGGCCTATAAGGTCCAGTTTGACTCCAAACCTCTTAAGGTCAATCATTTCTATTGAGTATTTGAACAGAAAAATTATAACTTACCAAGACTTGCCAACATTGTGTAGTAGAGTGCATTCAAATATATGTTCATGTTATTCTCTGTCCCGCACAGTTTGTCCGCTGGCAGAACTCCAAGCGGCTGATATACGGCTCCCTGGTCTGCATGTCCTGTGACAACTTTGAAACCTTCCTGTTTGCCACTGTGTCGGACCGGGACCCCAAGGAGCTAGAGAAGGGTTTAGTCCAGATCAGTTTCTCAGCGGAGAGCAGGCGAGCCCTGGCAGGAGTGGAGGCCCACCAGTCCTTCCTCATGGTGGAGACAACCGCCTACTTTGAGGCCTACCGCTACGTCCTCGAAGGGCTGCAGGAGCTGGAAGTAGAGGATCTGCCCTTTCAGAGGTCAGTGTACTGTCTGTCGTTGTTGAATTCAATCATTATTCAGCCCTACGTATGTACTGGCTATCGCACCGGTGTTGTTGATGCTATTTTCTACATTGTAGAATTATAGTGAAGACATCAAAACTATGAAATAACACATATGGAATCATGTAGTAACCAAAAAAGTGTTAAACAAATCAAAATATATTTGATATTCTTCAAATAGCCACCCTTTGCCTTGATGACAGCTTTGCACACTCTTGGCATTCTCTCAAGGTAGTCACCTGGAATGCATTTCAATTAACAGATGTGCCTTCTTAAAAAGTTAATTTGTGGTATTTATTTCCTTCTTAATGCGTTTGAGCCAATCAGTTGTGTTGTGACAAGGTAGGGGTGGTATAAAGAAGATAGCCCTATTTGGTAAAAGACCAAGTCCAAATTATGGCAAGAACAGCCCAAGTAAGCAAAGAGAAACGACAGTCCATCATTACTTTAAGACATGAAGGTCAGTCAATACAAAACATTTCAAGAACTTTGAAAGTTTCTTCAAGTGCAGTCTCAAAAACCATCAAGCGCTATGATGAAACTGGCTCTCATGAGGACCGCCACAGGAAAGGAAGACCCAGAGTTACCTCTGCTGCAGAGGATAAGTTCATTAGAGTTACCAGCCTCAGAAATTGCAGCCCAAATAAATGCTTCACAGAGTTCAAGTAACAGACACATCTCAACATCAACTGTTCAGAGGAGACTGTGTGAATCAGGCCTTCATGGTCGAATTGCTGCAAAAAAACCACTACTAAAGGATACTAACAAGAAGAAGAGACTTGCTTGGGCCAAGAACAGTGGATATTAGACCGGTGGAAATTTGGTTTGGGATGAGTCGGACCGCAGAGTGAAGGAAAAGCAGCCAACAAGTGCTCAGCATATGTGGGAACTCCTTCAAGATTGTTGGAAAAGCATTCCAGGTAAAGCTGGTTGAGAGAATGCCAAGAGTGTGCAAAGCTGTCATCAAGGCAAAGGGTGGCTATTTGAAAAATCTCAAATATATTTTGATTTGTTTAACACTTTTTTTGGTTACTACATGATTCGATATGTGTTATTTCACAGTTTTGATGTCTTCACTATTATTCTACAATGTAGAAAATAGTAAAAATAAATTAAAAACCCTTGAATGAGTAGGTGTTCTAAAACTTTTTACCGGTAGTGTACCTCTTCCACCAGCTGCTAGATGATATTTGGCAGACATTTTGTGACAGAACATTTACCGCATATCAATTATTGTAATGAAGAATGAGAACACTGTTATCCAATGGGGGCTGGAGTAACTTTCCGACTAACAAAAATTATATTTTTGATTTGTGACGACATGTAAATTGCAGGTATATAGTGGAATGCAGCTCAGATGTCCACCCTCCTGCTTACCTGCCAAGGGGGGATACGTATGACCTGTCTGCTATTGCGGTGCCTGAGTTCAAGAGCAGCATCAACCGCTTCCACACCCTGGATCCTGATGCCTGGCCCCCCATGGAGCAGCTGGGATTGGACGAGTCCCAGATGAGAGCCCTTCAGCTTGCCCTCACCAAGGAGCTGGCCATCATCCAGGGACCCCCAGGCACAGGTAGAATACATATTGAAAAAAATCATACATATTGAATTAGATCATGTTAATGTACATGTAAAATTTCTAGGCCAAAAGTTTAACATTTGTATGCCAAGTTGCTTCATGTATAGGCTTTAGTGGACCTGCAGGAGGGTAACACTTTTGGACATTCGTTTTCTCTCCTTACTCATAATCTCAGGGAAGACCTACACAGGACTAAAGATCGCCCAAGCTCTTTTGACCAATCAGGAGGTGTGGAAAGGTGTCTTTGGCACCTCCCCATTGCTGGTGGTTTGTTACACCAACCACGCTCTGGACCAGTTCCTGGAAGGTAGGCCTCCTGCTTCCCCACATATTGAACTATGGATGGACAGTATATGAATGCATGATTGTCCCACACTACTTTTGCTTCTTGAATTCAGTTATTTTCGACTTCAAGCCACTCTTGAAATATGCCAGATGTACCATCATTTGTGTTTGACCAAATATAATTCTGAAGGGCACTTTTGTCATCGTATGTATCAGCAGCTTTTTCATTTGTTTAACATTGTGCACCATAGGTATCCACACGTTCATTTTGTTTAACATTCTGCACCATAGGTATCCACAAGTTCATTTGTTTAACATTGTGCACCATAGGTATCCACAAGTTCATTTGTTTAACATTGTGCACCATAGGTATCCACAAGTTCATTTGTTTAACATTGTGCACCATAGGTATCCACAAGTTCATTTGTTTAACATTGTGCACCATAGGTATCCACAAGTTCATTTGTTTAACATTGTGCACCATAGGTATCCACAAGTTCATTTGTTTAACATTGTGCACCATAGGTATCCACAAGTTCATTTGTTTAACATTGTGCACCATAGGTATCCACAAGTTCATTTGTTTAACATTGTGCACCATAGGTATCCACAAGTTTTTACCAGACGGTATTGTAAGAGTGGGTGGGCGAAGCAACAGTGAGGACCTGAAGCGTTTCACTCTGAGGGAGCTGAAAAGGTCCCATGACTTCCGCCGCCGCCTACCGCAACATCTTCGCCGAGCCAACAGTGAGGTGAGAGTTAGTGTTGGAAACCTGAAAGTTATGCTAAAATTCGAGAAATATTCTTCAAAAGTAAATTGTAAATGAGCACTCCTATTGAAGTCAATGTAGCTCAGTTTCCGTTTGTGTCAGGAATGTAACAGCCAGGTTGGCTATCTTTTGGGGAAATAGTCTTTTAGGGAAATAAAACCACATGCTGATGCTCAGAATATTGTTTCCCCTCAGATCTATGATGCACTGCGGACAGAAGAGACTAAGATCCAGACTCAGTCTGTTCAGCTGGAGTGCAGTCTGCGGGGCATTCTAAGGGAGCAGTTCCTCCAGCGGTTCATCTCAGAGGAACACTGGGAAAGCCTGTCCCTCCAGCCCGTGAGTCGTTGATACTACTGTAAAAGATAAAGATATATTAGTAGATTATTAGCCGTCTGTCCGACTGATACAATTACCACTATCAGACCGGTGACTACTGCTATGACTATAACTAATAGTTCCCCCACCTCTGCTACTTGTAGAACTATGTTGATGTCAGATAGGATAACTACAATGAGTACGTCAACCCCTGCTGCTTATACAAGGCTTAGGATTCACGTTAACAAAGTAGGTCTGACATTTCCAGAAAAGCTTTATGATACGATGTTGATCTGTAATGATCTGCCATTGGCCAGAGAGGAGACAATACTTACTCTTAATGTGTACTTTTCCTCTCAGGCCCTGGATGGTTTTCACAGCTATGGTGGGAAGAAGCCCTCTCTGATAATGGAGTGGCTGGGGTTGGGTTCCACTGCCTTCCAGCAGAGGACACCACATCCTCAAAATGGCAATGCAGGTGAGAAGCCACTGCAGTACCACAGAAAACAGACATAGGGCTGGAACAATTATTGTATAATCTTGTAAATGACAATTATGGACAATAACCGTGAATTATAAAACAATGATTGTCATAATCTTCTTAATACATTCATTTCAGGAGAAGTGGGGCTTCAACTTTATATTCAAGTAGATATTGTTTACCCAATAGCAGTTTTACATTTTTACTTAAAGTGGGTAAAGTTGGTAATCATTTTACGAGCAGAACGGCATGGTCGGGAGGAGAAGATTCATTCCAAAAGTTCGAAGCGGTCAAAACATTAGTTTTTGAGACAGGGGTGTCCCCAAAGCTGTGTTGTATTCATTAGGTACAATGTGTTGTAACTTGTTTTCGAAGATACATTATGATGCGTTACAAGCTCCATTTGTTTTCAACAATGTTAATAATAACCATGCATTACAATTAATCGTTACCCCAAAATTCCATAATCGTCACAGTAGACAAGACACAACATGATCAGAAATAACAAATGGAACAGGTGCAGAGCAAATCAAATTTTGTCACATGCGCCTAATACAACAGGTGTAGACTTCAGTTGAACAGTGTTTCCTCCGACACATTGGTGCAGCTGGCTTCCAGGTTAAGCGGGCGGGTGTTAAGAAGCGTGGTTTGGCGGGTCATGTTTCGGAGGACACATGACTCGACCTTCGCCTCCCGAGCCCGTTGGGGAGTTGCAGCGATGAGACAAGATCGAAATTGTCTAACACATTTTCACCTCTCTATTTTGTGATAGATGGGGAAATGGAGGAAGCTGAGGACGAAGAGGACGACCTGATCGACATAGCGGAGGAGGCAGACCTGATCCAGGCGGAACGCTACGTAGAAGTCTCAGACATGCATCATAGTCGTGATGATGATCGAAGGAAGATGGAGGAGACGGTCAGGGATATGGCAGAACTGATGCTGGCCATGAACATGGAGAACACTGAGATACAGGCAGAGCAGAGTGAAGAAGGCTGGGAGGTGAGAACTACAACTAGCCTTGATCCAAACTAATTGGTTAACAATATAGCTAAAACACATTGCATCATACATCATATGTGAATCACAAACTAATTTAGCTGCTTATTGATTTAAAATGACAGTATTTAGCTTAGGAGTATGGTAGAAAGACAGGTGCTGAGTTAAAGGTGTAGTTAACGTTATTTTAAAAGTCTGCCGTGTCTCTCTCTATGTTCACAGATGCAGCGGGTGCAGAAGAGGAAGATGAAACATCGTATCAGGAGAGAGCTGGGCAGCAGCTCAGCCATGAGTGAGGATGAGGAGGATATTATTCTGGATGTGTGGACTCTCAGTCTGGCAGACAGATGGAGACTGTACCGGTAATACTCCCTCTCATCACCTAGGCAACGCCAGACTGCGAGAGCGTATATATTCCCATTGCGCATAATTTTGTAAACTAATTACATAGAAAATGTATCTCAAAAGATGCATGCACTGAACCCCTCACCTCAAAGGCAACTTTTGCTCTACAAGTTTCTGTCACCCTGGCAACGTAACTGTGCTTAGCTTGTGCAAAGTGCACAGTCGTCATGACCACACAAACCACACAGGTGTGCGATTGGCTGTGCCACCTTAAGTGACGCATGTTTTGATCTGACTGGGGAAAAGACCAGTGCAAGGCTCAGTTGTGTGCCAGCCAAAAAGCAATCTGGGATTATGCAATAAATACAAAACAATTGTCACAGCTCCAGTGTGTTGGATTGACTCAGTAAATCAAAGAAGTAATACAGGATTCTGCTCTACGCATTATCAACGAATCTCAGATATTCAGTATTTGATTGTGACAGGGTTATGTCAGGTAAACACAGCTGTTCTATAGGAAGTATGTTATTCTGATGACCTACGTATGTAGACTCTATTAGTGGCCTTGCCGTCAAATGCTACCCAATGACCTCATCATTGAATCCAAGATGGCGTAGCAGTGCGGTCGTGTTCTTTGTTGTGTGTCTGTGTAAATAGCCTGTTTTTTGTATTTTTTGGTATTTTTCGTACATATTTCCCTATCACACTTTTCATCCTTCTACAAAATATACTTTCCTGCAACCCGCCTCACTCAATGTGGAACGGATTCTATTATTGACTTACCTTTTATCTAGAATCTCCAATTGAAACTAGCTAGCCAGCTAACTAGCTACTTGCTATTAGCCACCGTTAGCGGTTTTCACCCAGAACATCGGATTTTCTGCCGGAATAACTGAATCACTGGACATTTACACCGGATCGCAACTAGCTAGCCGCAACCAAATGGATGTTGCTGTTGGCTAATCACCACTGCCCCCGAAGCAAGCACCAGTTAGCCTTGAGCTAGCCTCGAGCCAGGCCCATATCCCGGCTATCTACCTCTCTGTCTACCGGACGGGAGTAGCCAGCTAACTAGCTACTTGCTATTAGCCACCGTTAGCGGTTTTTCACCATTGTCCGTGGCCTGCACTGCCTACCAGCCAGCTCTAGCCTGGACTATTATCGGCCAGTCTGCACTGTCTGCACAGCGCGTTATCGACCCAGAACATATCGTTTTTTCACTGTAGATCCCCCAGCCCAGCTCAACCTGCCTTAGATAGCTCCTTTGTCCCACCCCCCATACACGCGGAGACCGACTCAATCGGTGCCTACAGTGATGCTATCTCTTTCATCATTACCCAACGCTTAGGTTTACCTCCACTGTACTCATATCCTTCCATATCCTTGTCTGTACATAATGCCATGAATCTATTCTACAACGCCCGGAAATCTGCCCCTTTTTTCTCTGTACCCAACGCACTAGAAGACCAGTACTTAAAGGCTTTAGCTGTATCCTTATTCTACTCCTCCTCTGTTCCTCTGGTGAGGTAGAGGTTAACCCCTGTAGCCCCCAGTATCACTCCTACTCCCCAGGCGCTATCATTTGTTGACTTCTGTAACCGTAAAAGCCTTGGTTTCTTGCACATTAACATCCGAAGCCTCCTCCCTAAGTTTGAGTTATTCACTGCGTTAGCACACTCCGCCAACCCTGATGTTCTAGCAGTGTCTGAATCCTGGTTTAGGAAGGCCACCAAAAATTCAGAAATGTCCATCCCCAACTACAACATTTTACGTCTCGATAGAACTGCCAAAGGGGGTGGGGTTGCAATCTACTGTAGAGATAGCCTGCAGAGCGCTATCGTACTATCCAGGTCTGTGCCCAAACAGTTTGAGCTTCTACTTCTAAAACTCCACCTTTCCAGAAATAAGTCTCTCACTGTTGCCACTTGCTACAGACCTCCCTCAGCCCCCAGCTGTGCCCTGGACACCATATGTGAACTGATTGCCCCCCATCTATCCTCAGAGTTCGTACTGCTTGGTGACCTAAACTGGGATATGCTTAACACCCCGGCCAATCTACAATCTAAACTAGATGCCCTCAATCTCACACAAATTATCAATGAACCTAGCAGGTTTAACCCAAAATCTGTAAACATGGGCACCCTCATAGATATCATCCTGACAAATGTACCCTCTAAATACACCTCTGCTGTCTTCAACCAGGATCTCAGCGATCACTGCCTTATGCCTTATTGCCTGTGTCCGTAATGGGTCAGTGGTCAAATGACCACCCCTCATCACTGTCAAACGCTCCCTAAAACACTTTAGCGAGCTGGCCTTTCTAATTGACCTGGCTGGGGTATCCTGGATGGATATTGACCTCATTCTGTCAGTAGAGGATGCCTGGTTGTTCTTTAAAAGTGCTTTCCTCTCAATCTTAAATAAGCATGCCCCATTCAAAAAATTCAGAACTAAGAACAGATATAGCCCCTGGTTCTCCTCAGACTTGACTGCCCTTGACCAGCACAAAAACATCCTGTGGCGCACTGCATTAGCATCGAACAGCCCCCGCGATATGCAACTTTTCAGGGAAATCAGGAACCAATATACACAATCAGTTAAGGAAAGGCTAGCTTTTTCAAACAGACATTTGCATCCTGTAGCACTAACTCCAAAAAGTTTTGGGACACTGTAAATTCCATGGAAAATAAGAGCACCTCCTTCCAACTGCCCACTGCACTGAGGCTAGGAAACACTGTCACCACTGATAAATCTACAATAATCGAGAATTTCAACAAGCATTTTGCTACGGCTGGCCATGCTTTCCACCTGGCTACCACTACCCCGGCCACCAGCTCTGCACACTCCGCTGCAACTTGCCCCCCCGCTTCTCCTTCACACAAATTCAGACAGCTGATGTTCTGAAAGAGCTGAAAAATCTGGACCCCTACAAATCAGCTGGGCTAAACAATCTGGACCCTTTCTTTCTAAAATTAGCCGCCGAAATTGTCGCAACCCCTATTTCTAGCCTGTTCAACCTCTCTTTCGTAATGTCTGAGATCCCCAGAGATTGGAAAGCTGCCGCGGTCATCTCCTTCTTCAAAGGGGGTGACACTCTAGATCCAAACTGTTACAGACCTATATCCATCCTGCCCTGCCTTTCGAAAGTATTTGAAAGCCAAGTTAACAAACAGATCACCGACCATTTCGAATCCCACCGTACCTTCTCCACTATGCAATCCGGTTTCCGAGCTGGTCATGGGTGCACCTCAGCCACGCTCAAGGTCCTAAACGATATTATAACCGCAATCGATAAAAGACAGTACTGCGCAGCCATCTTCATCGACCTGGCCAAGGCTTTCGACTCTGTCAACCACCGCATTCTTATTGGCAGACTAAAAATCCTTGGTTTCTCTAATGACTGCCTCGCCTGGTTCACCAACTACTTCTCAGATAGAGTTCAATGTGTCAAATCGGAGGGCCTGTTGTCTGGACCTCTGGCCGTCTCTATGGGGGTGCCACAGGGTTCAAATCTCGGGCCGACTCTATTCTCTGTGTATATCAATTCTCTGCTGGTGACGCTCGGATCCACCTCAATGCGGACGACACCATTTTGTATACATCTGGCCCTTCATTGGACACTGTGTTAACAAACCTCCAAATGAGCTACAACGCCATACAACACCTCCAACTGCTCTTAAACACTAATAAAACCAAATGCATGCTCTTCAACCGAACGCTGTTTGCACCCGCCCACCCGACTAGAATCACTACTCTCGGCGGGTCTGACCTAGTGTATGTGGACAACTACAAATACCTAGGTGTCTGGTTAGACTGTAAACTCTCCTTCCAGACTCACATTAAGCATCTCCAATCAAAAGTTAGATCTAGAATTGGCTTCCTATTTCGCAACAAAGCCTCCTTCACTCAAGCTGCCAAACATGCCCTCGTAAAACTGACTATCCTACCGATCCTTGACTTCGGCGATGTCATTTACAAAATAGCCTCCAACACTCTACTCAGCAAATTGGATGTAGTCTATCAAAGTGCCATCTGTTTTGTCACCAAAGCCCCATATACTACCCACCATTGTGACCTGTATGCTCTTGTTGGCTGGCCCTCACTACATATTCGTCGCCAAACCCACTGGCTCCAGGTCATCTATAAATCACTGCTAGGCAAATCCCTGTCTTACCTTAGCTCACTGGTCACCATAGCAACACCCACCCGTAGTCTGCGCTCCAGCAGGTATATCTCACTGGTCATCCCCAAAGCCAACACCTCCTTTGGCCGCCATTCCTTCCAGTTCTCTGCTGCCAATGACTGGAACGAACTGCAAAAATCTCTGAAGCTGGAGACCCTTATCTCCCTCACTAACTTTAAGCGTCAGTTGTCAGAGCAGCTAACCAATCACTGCACCTGTACACAGCCGTTCTGAAATTAGCCCACCCAACTACCTTATCTCCATATTGTTATTTATTTTGCTAATTTGCACCCCAGTATCTCTATTTGCACATCATCTTTTGCACATCTATCATTCCAGTGTTAATACGAAATTGTAACTATTTTGCACTATGGCCTATTTATTGCCTTACCTCCATAACTTACTACATTCGCACACACTGTATATATATATTTTCTGTTGTATTTTTGACTTTATGTTTTGTTTACCCCATATGTAACTCTGTGTTGTTGTTTTTATCGCACTGCTTTGCTTTATCTTGGCCAGGTCGCAGTTGTAAATGAGAACTTGTTCTCAACTGGCTTACCTGGTTAAATAAAGGTGAAATAAAAAAATCATAAAAACATCTGATGCTGCTCTGTGTCCGCAGGTTATGGGTGGGGCGTTATCGGACGGAGCTGCGTATGCGAGCCCAGCAGGCAGAGCAGGACTATCAGGACGCTGCCGAGCGTCTGGCTGAGATTCGTCTCCGTGAGGACTTATGTGTCCTGAAGGACGCCAAGGTCATCGGCATGACGACCACGGGGGCTGCTAGATGCCGCAAAGCTTTGCAGGAAGTGCGCCCCTGCCTGGTGATCGTGGAAGAGGCGGCGGAGGTACTGGAGGCCCACACCATCACCACTCTGAGCCAGGCCTGCCAGCACCTCATTCTCATTGGAGACCACCAACAGGTACTGGACACTCATTGGTCAGGTCAACTTCCCCACTGTTATTCCGCAAAATCCAGGGATTGAATTGGACATGAAAATTGCTCCTAATGTAAAATTGACTTGAAAATTGCTCCTAATGTAAAATTGACTTGAAAATTGCTCCTAATGTAAACTGGGCATTTGTCTATTGAAAGTCCATGATCATTTTCATTTCTTAATTGTCTGGGATTTAAATGCAATCAACGTCCAACTCTGCTTGGGGCTAAACAGAGAGTTCACCCAGCACACCCAGCTATAAGGTCTTACGTAACTTGACTTGTTCCTCTTAGCTCTGAGTGAAAAGCTAAAGCACTCTGGGAATATCACGTCTTTTACTCAGTTCAATATAATCCACTTTATTCAAGGCTGGTATTCTTTAGATGTGCACTTTACTTTCGTGTAGGTGGATCACACTTTCGATGAGAAAAAAACGTTTTGGCTTTGAAGTGCTATTAATCAAACGTTAGTGGTTGAATTCTAACACAGTCAGGCAGAAACTGAGCACAATAACTCACATTATTTGAGAATGTTTTGTATCTTTCCCACACCCCCTCCCACACACATTCTTACCCTGTCCCCTAAATAAAGCAGACACACATTAACAACTGAAAAGAAGCAGGAAAACAAGATAGGATAGCAAAACTGAGAGAGTTTATTTGCATATACTGTATACTCTTTATTTAACTTTATTACATTTATTTGACAGGGACAATGAACATGAATCAACATTTCTGTAAATGTGATTTAGTCAAACGGCAAATTTTCATCTTTAGTGGGCAGCTGCTGAAAATTCTGTTCTCCTCAACTCTATTTTATCTGTTGTTGTTGTTGTCCTCTCTTGGGGTTCAGTGGTACTTATAGGGGTACTTATATAGCTCATTGTGTCCCTAGCTCCGGCCCAGTGCAACAGTGTTCGAACTGGCCAAGAACTTCAATCTTGAAGTGTCCATGTTTGAGAGGCTGGTCAGGATGGACTTTCCGTACGTCAGACTTAACTTCCAGGTACGTGTGGGGAATCTGAAGGGAAAGTGTACTGTATATGGATAAACCAATTACCCTTGTTCTTCATTGTCCATTGACCCAATCCTCTCACTCTGGGTCTATCCCGCACAGCATCGCATGAGGCCAGACATTGCTCGCCTCCTCGTCCCACACATCTACTCTGAGCTAGAGAACCACCCATCAGTGATGGACTATGAGAATGTTAAGGTTAGTGAATGCATTCAGATACTTTTGACATAGTAGTTTCCCTCCTAGCAGGAGTACATTTAAAGTGTACTGTAGCTCAATCGACAAAACATGGCGCTTGTAACGCCAGGGTAGTGGGTTCGATCCCCGGGACCACCCATACGTAAAAATGTATGCACACATGACTGTAAGTCGCTTTGGATAAAAGCGTCTGTCTGCTAAATGGCATTATTATTATTATTATTACTGAATATCAATCAATTTCACCATGTGGTCAATTCAATATACCATTAATAAAGCATAATACACCGTCCATGTGTAAGCTTTAGAAGTTAGTTGCGGTCCAATAACCGTTGTATTCACCTCCCTGTTGTCTTGCAGGGTCTTCTCTCCAACATGTTCTTTGTGGAGCATAACTACCTTGAGGAGGAGATCAGGGATGGAAAGAGTCGCCAGAACCAGCACGAGGCCCTCTTCGTGGTAGCGCTGTGTCGCTACCTCCTGTTACAGGACTACCAGCCGTCCCAGATCACCATCCTCACCACTTATACTGGCCAACTCCACTGTCTGCGCAAACTCATGCCAGCCAAAGAGTTCAATGGGGTCAAAGTTCATGTTGTTGACAAATACCAAGGAGAAGAGAATGATATTGTCCTGCTGTCGCTGGTTCGAAGTAACAAAGAGGGGAAGGTGGGCTTCTTGAACATCCCCAACCGCGTCTGTGTGGCCCTGTCACGGGCTAAGAAGGGTCTCTACTGCATTGGAAACATGGCCATGTTGGGAAAGGTCAAGCTTTGGAGCAACATCCTGCACACGCTGCGAGAGAAAGACCAAGTGGGCCCTGCCCTGACCCTGTGCTGCCAGAACCACCCTGAGCGACACATTAAAGCGTCCTGCGGAGACGACTTCAAACATGCTCCTGAGGGAGGCTGCAACCTGCCCTGCGAGTTCCGCTTGAACTGTGGTCACGTGTGCTCCAGTGCCTGCCACCCGTACGACCAAGAGCACAAAAAGTACACATGTAACAAGAAGTGCCAGAAGGTCCTCTGTGAGCTGGGGCATCGATGCCAACTTCAGTGCTACAGGAAGTGCCCTACCGACTGCCTTAAGCGGGTAGAGAAGATCGTACCGCGGTGCCAACACAAGCAGATGGTGCCCTGTCACCAGGCTCCAGAGCTGTTTGTGTGCCAGGAGCCCTGTCAGAAGAAGTTGGTGTGTGGGCATCTATGTGCCACGGTGTGTGGGGAGTCCTGCACCACTACCTGCATGGCAACAGTCACCCTGGAGCTCAAGTGTGGACACAAGCAAAAAGGTCCCTGTCATTATAAGATATCTACAGTACAGCCGGACTGCAGGGCACCATGCAAACAGATTCTGAAGTGTGGCCACCCCTGTACTGGTTCCTGCCAGAGGTGCCACCAGGGCCGCTTCCACTTGGGCTGTTTTCACCGATGTGAGCAGCTCCTAGTCTGCTCCCACAAGTGTCGGGAGCCCTGTACACGTGACTGCCCTCCCTGTCGAATTCCCTGTGAGAATCGCTGCATCCATAGTGCCTGTAAGAAGCCCTGCGGCCAGCCCTGTGCCCCCTGCATAGAGCCCTGTGCCTGGCAGTGCCCTCACCAGGGCTGCAGCAAGCTCTGCCATGAGCCTTGTGACCGTCCACCATGCACCCAACCCTGCACCAAAACCTTGCAGTGTGGGCACCCCTGCATCGGCCTGTGTGGAGACCCCTGCCCCAACAAGTGCCGTGTTTGCCACCGCGAGGATGTAACAGAGATCTTCTTTGGTACGGAGGACGATGCTGAGGCCTGCTTTATTCAGCTGGAGGACTGCGGACACTTCTTTGAGTCCACATCCATGGACACGTACATGGGGATGGATGACAACCAGCAGGCTACCCAGGAGCAGCTTGCAGTAAAGTTGAAGGAGTGCCCCAAGTGTCGCACTCCCATCCGCAGGAATCTCCGGTATGGGGCTCACGTCAACCGGAGTCTGGTGGAAATTGAGAAAGTGAAGGAGAAGATTAATGGAGCACAGTCAGATATTGAGGCACAGAAGGCGGTCCTTAAGCAGCAATGGATTGACATGGTGGACCTGCGAAGTTACCTACCGATGGAGTACAAACAGATCAGGGAAAAACTGAGTGCCTCCCACCTCACAGCTAAGGAACTGTGGGTCACGGAAAACAAGATGACCTCCCTTGAGAGAGTCAGCAAGTTGCTGAAGATTAGTAAGCAGCACATGTCAAGTGGGGAAGCTTTCCATTTTGAGGCGAAAGTGGAAGAGTTCCTGAGGTGGCTGATGGATTGTCACCAGAAGTTCTCAGAGCAGCAGGCTTCCGATCTGCAGAGCGAGCTACAGAGGCTGTCCTTTTTGGCCGAGCTCAACGCCCGCTGCAAGATGGCTAACGACACAGGCCGTGGGGTCAAGGTTCAGGCTGAGGTCACAGCCATAAGGAAGGTTCTGGAGAGAATGCAGCCATTCACTCGGCAAGACGAGGACTGGGTAAAGCAGGCACTGAAAGACTTGGATAAAAAGCTACCAAACTCTGGCCTGGGGATCAGTGATGATGAACGACAGATGATACTCTCAGCCATGAATATGCCTAAAGGCCACTGGTACTCCTGCCCCAATGGTCACGTCTATGCCATCGGAGATTGTGGAGGCGCCATGGAGAGCCGTAACTGCCCAGAGTGCAATGCTACGATTGGTGGAGCAAACCATGCTCTGGCCAGTGGCAACAGAGTGGCATCAGAGATGGATGGGGCACAACATGCTGCGTGGTCCGAAGCTAACAATGTGCTGAACTTTGATCTGATGAACCTTGCTGATTAAAAACATCTGTTTAATTGTGTCTTCATGGATGATGTGACGGTTATCATAATTTGCACTCCAGAAAGTGTCGCTGTATCAATATATCTTTTTTTATGCTGAAATTACTGTAAATGATTAACTGAATGTGATGAAATGAATGCTCTTTGAATATAATATATGTTAGGATTTTTTTTTAGCAGAAGTGATGTTTAATAAAATCACTCCAAAGTACAATACTGTATTCTCAACCCAATGTACAATTATGAATTAAGCAAATGTTTAGGCAGGATTGATGTGTGGTGATGGGCCTCAACGTTTAGACACCTGTGTGTGTTTTTCTAGTCACACCAATAGATGGCAGCAGTGTATTGTTAATTTAACAAAGAGTTGGCTTGACATGTGCAATACATTTTTCTCTAATAAATCGTATCTGAGATGATCCCATATATTTGCAAATTGATTTTCTAACACACATTCATACACAATTGTGATTCAGCTGACTGAGCAACTCAAAGAAATTAATATAATATGATAAAGGGGCTGAAAAACAGCACAAACTCTGGTATGATAAGAAAACTGTAAACGTAACTAATATACACAAATATATTTTTTGTGGGGATAAACCGAAACTCCACTTTGTGTCTTTGACATTGCCCATTTATTTAAATTAGCATAGGTCTACTTTATGTATCAGTTGAATACATTTTCTGAGCATTTTGTGAACTGAGTTATAGTGTATTTGGCCCTGTAAGTGATTGTCAAGTGGCAGGGCGGAGGTGTTTGACTTGGTGTGGCTAGTCCTATGGCCCCCGTTCAGAGACAACCCTAAATCCTATGACCCCCGTCCAGTTCCTTCTCCCTAAATCAGTAAAAAGTTGAGGTGTAAGCAGTATGGTAGTAGCTTTACCTTGCCCTCTGATAGGTTGGGAGGATTTTGTGCCATATTTCTTATACTTCTCTAATCCTCTCATATCTACACAGGTGGTTGGTTTAGGTACTAGGGGTTGGTTTAGGTACTAGGGGTTGGTTTAGGTACTAGGGGTTGGTTTAGGTACTAGGGGTTGGTTTAGGTACTAGGGGTTGGTTTAGGTACTAGGGGTTGGTTTAGGTACTAGGAGTTGGTTTAGGTACTAGGGGTTGGTTTAGGTGCTAGGGGTTGGTTTAGGTACTAGGAGTTGGTTTAGGTACTAGGGGTTGGTTTAGGTACTAGGGTTGGTTTAGGTACTAGGGGTTGGTTTAGGTACTAGGGGTTGGTTTAGGTACTAGGAGTTGGTTTAGGTACTAGGGGTTGGTTTAGGTACTAGGAGTTGGTTTAGGTACTAGGGGTTGGTTTAGGAACTAGGGGTTGGTTTAGATGGGTTGGTTAGGTTTAGGTGGTTTGTACTAGGGGGTGTTGGTTAGTCAGGGTGTTAGTCTAGGGTTAGTTTAGGTACTAGGGGTTGGTTTAGGTACTAGGGGTTGGTTTAGGTACTAGGGTTGGTTTACGGGGTTATACTAGGGGTTGGTTTAGGTACTAGGAGGTTGGTTTTAGGTACAGGGGTGTTAGGTCTAGGGTTGTTTAGGTACTAGGGTTGGTTTAGGTACTAGGGTTTAGGTACTAGGGGTTGGTTTAGGTACTAGGGGGTTTAGGTTCTAGGGTGGTTTTAGGTACTAGGGTTGGTTTAGGTACTAGGGGTTGGTTTAGGTCTAGGGTTGGTTTAGGTACTAGGGTTGGTTTAGGTACTAGGGTTGGTTCTAGGGGTTGGTTTAGGTGTACCAGGGGTTGGTTTAGGTACTAGGGGTTGGTTTAGGGTTACTAGGGGTTGGTTTAGGTACTAGGGTGGTTTTAGGTTGGTTTAGGTACTAGGGTGGTTTAGGTATGGGTGGTTAGGGACTAGGGGTTAGGTTAGGTTGGTACTAGGGTTGGTTTAGGTACTAGGGGTTGGTTTAGGTACTAGGGGTTTAGGGTTAGGGTTTAGGTATAGGTACTAGGGTTGGTTTAGGTACTAGGGGTTGGTTTAGGTACTAGGGTTGGTTTATATGGTTTGACTAGGGGTTGGTTAGGGTTGTTAGGTACTAGGAGTTGGTTTAGGTACTAGGGGTTGGTTTAGGTACTAGGGGTTAGTTTAGGTACTAGGGGTTGGTTTAGGTACTAGGGGTTGGTTTAGGTACTAGGGGTTGGTTGGTATAGGTTGACTATGGGTTGGTTTAGGTACTAGGGTTGGTTAGGTACTAGGGTTGGTTTAGGGTGTTTTGGTACTAGGGGTTGGTTTAGGTACTAGGGGTGGTTTAGGTACTAGGGTTGTTTAGGTTAGGGTTGTTTAGGTACTAGGGGTTGGTTTAGGTACTAGGGTTGGTTGATAGGGTTGGTTTAGGTACTAGGGGTTGGTTTAGGTGCTATGGGTTGGTTTAGGTGCTATGGGTTGGTTTAGGTACTAGGGGTTGGTTTAGGGGTTGGTTTAGGTACTAGGGGTTGGTTTAGGTACTAGGGGTTGGTTTAGGTACTAGGGGTTAGTTTAGGTACTAGGGGTTGGTTTAGGTACTAGGGGTTGGTTTAGGTACTAGGGGTTGGTTTAGGTACTAGGGTTGGTTTAGGTACTCAGGGGTTGGTTTAGGTGCTATGGGTTGGTTTAGGTACTAGGGGTTGGTTTAGGTACTAGGGGTTGGTTTAGGGGTTGGTTTAGGTACCAGGGGTTGTTTAGGTACTAGGGGTTGGTTTAGGTACTAGGGGTTAGTTTAGGTATACTAGGGGTTGGTTTAGGTACTAGGGGTTGGTTTAGGTACTAGGGGTTGGTTTAGGTACTAGGGGTTGGTTTAGGTACTAGGGGTTGGTTTAGGTACTAGGAGTTGGTTTAGGTACTAGGGGTTGGTTTAGGTAGGGGTTGGTTAGTCTGGTACTATGGGTGGTTTTTAGGTCTAGGGGTTGGTTAGGTACTAGGGGTGTTAGGTAGGTACTGGGGTTGTTTAGGTACTAGGGGTTGTTTAGGTACTAGGGGTTGTTTGGTACCAGGGGTATATTGGTTTAGGGACTAGGGGGGTTCGGGGTGGTTTAAGGTACTAGGGGTTTGGTTTTAGGTACTAGGGGTTAGTTTAGCTAGGGGTGTATAGTTTAGGGGTGTTTAGTTTAGGTTTGGGTTTTAGGGTTGGTTTAGTGAGGTACTAGGGGTTGGTGGTTTTAGGTACTAGGTTGGTTTAGGTACCAGGGGTTGGTTAGGATGGTTTAGGGACTAGGGTGTTTAGGGGTTAGTTAGGTACTAGGGTAGTTTAGGTAGTTGGTTTAGGTACTAGGGGTTGGTTTAGGTACTAGGAGTTGGTTTAGGTACTAGGAGTTGGTTTAGGTACTAGGGGTTGGTTAGGTACTAGGTGGTTAGACTAGGGGTTGGTTCTGGACAGGGTTCTGTCATCTTATCATCAGCTGCAGGTGTAGGGAGCAGTTCTGTTTTCAGCCTGATGGCCGAGCACCAGGACCGTGAGTCGGATAGATGTGAGCGACACACACACACACACACACACACACACACACACCGTACACCTGAACATCTGAAGTTATAAAGATGACTGAAACACCCTTTATGCATCATCTAGAGAGGTGCCCAAGGCTGCATGGATTTGCAGTAATATAAACTGCACAGCAGAATCAGCAAGTTTCTCGCACTTAGTCAAAACATGACACACGGCTAGCTGGCCAATAATAAAACATCACTGGAATTTCAAACATAACATTATTGGCCGTGAAGCAGCAAGACCCTAAACACCCACAATTTTTCTCCAGTTCGTAGAATTCGGGGCTGACATCCATTTAGGGCGTTTTGCAGCAGTTTGCATGACTTTATTACATGATGAATGTAGCCTTGTCACAAACCCAGCTCTAAAGCAAACTGTGCTCTCTGCAGTAAGAAAATAAAACTGTAGTGTCAGGATAGGGGGACAAAAAACAAGCAAATTTGAAACCATGAATGTCATGCTGTCAGTATTTATGGTGTTTCGGTTTCAGAGACAGACTTGGACTGAAGGAGGCACTGCAGAAAAATGGTAACATCCTAAGGGGCCTGCAGGCTCATCTGTCACGTCAAATCCTCTTTTTAAAAAATCTGTCTGACTTTCTTAGCTGATTGGACTGTCTTTCAAGGACGATCGAGATTAGAGGAGAATTCAATTGAAGCACGTGAGTTAGAGAGGCCAAAATCTGTATTTTTCATGACAATGAATCACTGTCATTGTGCTTAATGGGGAGAAGAGAGACACGTAAGTGGCACAGATGTAACCGTTACTTCAGTGAGAGACGGATTCTAGCGCGTGCCTTTGAGCGTTAACTAAATTAAGGCATGGTTACGGTTGGGTTGAGGAGACTGATCATGCAGCGACAGAGGGAGAGGTGGATTAATTCAGTTTTATACATGTTTTTCAGTGGTTAGGCTACCCATTACATGAAAGTGATTTTGTATAGATTTTTCGATAGACCGAATCTGCTGTCTTTGAATGTCGTGTTCAACACCTTACTGTCCTGTATAATATTGTGGAGCGAAGACAGAGTTTGATGCAGTGCTGGACTTGGGCAGGAGCTCACCGGAGCTGAGTACCGGCACCACAAATGTTCTACTGCTTAGCTCCTGTTCCTCTTATAGAATATTAGCTCAAAAGTATTGTGGAGCTCCTGCACCTAAATATATACAGTACTGGCACCCAAAATGAGTACCAGAGCCTATTTCAGTCCAATTCAAGTACTGGTTTGAGGCATCGTCATTCAGATTATGATTGAGAATCCACCGCAGGCTTGGAACAGACAGTAGCAAGCTATGTTGCACCCTCATCTCATGTTCTTGGCAGGTGTGATTAATGATGAAGTTCAGATCTAAATCACTGAATCTGTGCAAACCTGTGACATGCATGCAGATTTAGGAGGGGACATATATGATAACCTGTGACATGCATGCAGATTTAGGAGGGGACATATATGATAACCTGTGACATGCATGCAGATTTAGGAGGGGACATATATGATAACCTGTGACATGCATGCAGATTTAGGAGGGGACATATATGATAAGCTGTAATGAATTTTGAGCAGTACTACTGTCATCCAAATGGCTCCCGTCCTACTGTGCTTGTGCAGCACCTTGATGTTTTGACGGTTCCCATTTGATGATAGACACAGACAGTTTGCCTAAAGTATCATCTAATATCATCATAAAGTGATTCAAGGTGCTGCAAAACACCCTAAATGGATGTGAAGCGTTTTTGTGTCCAAGAAAAGCGGTATATCAAATCCATGTATTACAGTGGGCCCTCTGAATAGAGGTTGTTGGAGGTAGTTCGGAACACTGAAATGTCCGTAACTTTGAATTTCACTTAAAAACAGCATCAAACCTTTATAGAAAATGTTAATTGCATATTTACATGTGTTTTCTAATCCTTTTTAACCAGATACTGTAAATATCTTGATGTGTTTTTAGCACATGCCTTA